TAAGTAAACATGTGTTTGGGGGTAGATGCGGCGGCACTACTGGGTGAGAGTTGGACTGATAACACCATGATCATCTCTTCAAACCCACCAGCCACTTTGGTGGAAAAAGATGAGGCTGTCTGCTCCAATAATGGTTTCTAGCCTCAGAAAGGTTGGATCACTATGAGTCAGAATCCTTTGGATGACAGTGGGGTTTGGGGGTGGGGTGGGTGCTTTTAATAGATCATAAAAAGGCAATAGAAAAGTTTGCTTTAAGGTTCCTCATTTTCAACCTCAGTGTATTCTAGTCTACCGTTCCCAACATCCAAAGCTCGTGCGTCTTTTGAAGATGCAGCCAAATAGGGTCTCAGCTGGAAGAGCACTCACAGGAGCAGATTATCCAATAAGCGTGGTAAGCATGGGCTTACTTGTGTTTATGTACTAATCTTTAGGAAGCACTTACACACGTTTGTTTGTTTGTTTGTTTGTTTCCCACATCAACTATGTTTTCGCCACACCATTACAGATGAGTAAATAAGCACAAGTACGTGGAGGTTTACCTTGCTTCTTGGGGAAGCAATTAAAAACAAAACCAGTAAAACCTTTGATTCTGAAGGAAGATCCTACAGCGGTTGGAGAGAACCACACATAGAAGCAGCATCATTGATTCAGTGACTCAAATTCACCGCAGATGAAGCACAAGTAGGCCTGCGTGTGGAGTCGTCTCACAGCAGTAGTTGGCGACTTTTGTAGACACAGAGATTGTAGTACTTGTACGGTTCCTTAGAGCATTACTCCTGTGCAGGAGGAGGTGGAAACTACCTGCTACCTTAAAGATCGACGGTCTCATAAACCCTGTGGAAGCTTGTTCTGAGTGGGAATTGACTTATTGGTAGTGGATATTTTTTTTGGTGGTGGTGGGGGCAACCAATAACATCAGCATGAACTGGCCACTTGTTAGAAATATAGAGTCCCAGATCTATGCAGACTTACTGAATCAGAATCTATATATTTTAAGGATATTCAAAGAATTTATATGCAAATTAAAATCTGAGAAGCAACACTTTATAACAAAAACTTACAAAATACATCTTCTCAATGAGGTAGTATTGTCTTAATGATGCTTATTTTGCATGAAACACACTTCCTTCCTATTTTGCTGCACATAACGGTTCCACAAAAACAGCATTGCAGATCCAACCCCCCCCCACACACACACACAAAAGAAAAAAAAAAAACCAAACCCCACCTCACTGCCATTGAGAAGATTCCAATTCATAGTGATCCAATAGGACAAAGGCCCCTGTGGGTTTCCAAGGCTATACATTTCTATGGAAGCAGACAGCCTCATCTTTTCTCCCACAGAGTGACTGGTGGGTTTGAACCACAGACCTTATGATTAGCAGCCCAATTTTTAGCCCACCAGCCCACCAAAGCTCATGAGAATAAACTGACATGTTCCAGAGAGTGGTGGACATTCTGCTCCAAGAAGTGTCTCGAATCTACTGATAGAGTGTTAAGGACTGGGTAAACATCATTTCCCTGTCCGACACACTCTCCTCTCTTCTATGGAACAGTCTCTTCCAGCTTCATCTAACATGACTGCAATTCTGGCTGGTATGTCTGGACTCATCCAGCATGATCTAGAGCCTTCCTGCCCAGACTTCCTGCCAGGTCTCTGCATTGAGAATATTTGATTAAATGCAGTTGGGATTAATTACTGTCTCGAGTATGCCATAGGACATTTTGAAATAATAATTAAATCTTCGTTGTAGAAAGCCAGATTCATGCTCCTGCAATTATTTACAGAAAGGGAAGGTGAAACTGGAAGGCCATTTTGCTTGTAGAAGTTTATTACTATTTATTCCCTGAAAATATTCAGGTTGGTCCACGGACATAATGCCAACAAAAAACAATAGACTTTGAATTGACCCTAAATCATGATAACGTCATGCATGACAGAGGAGAACAGTGCTCCAGAGGGATTCAAGGATTGATTTTTCTTTCAAGGTGTGTTTGACTGGGTTCAACCCTTTGGGTTAGCGGTGAGTGGGTTAACAATTTGAATCACCCAGAGACATATAGTTTCAGTAACTAAAGCCATTTTTTATTTTATCATGCTTCTTAAAATACTTCATCACAAAAATCATCCTTTCCTAGCTCCCCCACAAACATTCCCCTTCTGTTCCACACCCATGGTGGACCATGGTTTGATGAGGGAAGCAGCCAGTGGACCAGACTGCTCTGACAGAACTGGGGGGAAAGTTATAATGAGCCTCTTTGGTTTGTTTGCTTGCTTGTTTGTTTTTTATCCTGTAAACCTCTTTGGCCAGAAGGCCCAGATCTTGAAAAGACATCCAGCCACAATGCGTCTGTAAGAAATGCAAATGTCTTCCCTTCTTCCTGTGTTGGTTGAGTTTTACTGGGGCCTGGCTTTTGAGGTAGAACCAACCATTTGTGTTTCAGGAGCATGCCTCTGTTCCCTTTGTTTGAACCAGAGGAGTGAACCACGTGCTGGGCTGAGGAAGGAGCCCTGGTGGAGTCCTGCTTACAGGCGGGGCTGCACTTCCAAACCCCCAGCTGCTCCAAGGGAGAAAGATGGGCAGACAGGGTTACAGTTTGGGGGGCTCTGTCCTTGAGGAGTTGGCATTGACCCGATAGCCGTGAGTTGTTTTTTACATTTATTGGACCAGAGTGTTGCTAGAAGATATAACCGTGGCTCACAGTGCCTGGCCCCATGAATTGCAAGAAAGCCATCCACTAGGTAGCTCTACAACATTGGTAGGAGCCAGTGCCTCATCTTGTGGGCTACTGACCCCACCTATTTTCTTTTAGCAAATGTTTATCAAACACCTCATGCAGAAGAGTCACCAAGCGCCTTTTCACTCATTCATTTCTCACTCCACATACACTTTGAAACAAAACCTGCATCTTTTGCATTAATCTATTTTAAAGAATGTAATGTTTTCTTTTTTTTAATTTAAAAAATGTAATAGTCATGTTAGAAATTAGAGAAAAAGTAAAATAAATTTTAATAATAAGTAGGGTTGCCCTGAGTTGGAATGGACTTGATAGGAGTGGAGTTTGATTTGTTTTTCTGTGTTTATTGCATTTAACCTAATATATCCCAAATATCATTTCAGTAGGTAGACAATATTTAAAATTATTCTGGAGCTATTTCATATTCTTTTGAAAACTATTAAGTCTTTGAAATCTGGTGTGTAGTTTACTCTGGCAGCACAATTCAATATGGCTGACCCACATTTCCAACTTGCTGTGTTTGAGGGCATTATTGCAGCCACAATGTCAACCCAGCTTTTGATGGTCTTTTAAATTCTATTTATTTGTTTGTTTGTTTATTTATTTTGAGGGTCTTCCTCATTTTCAATGGCTTTCTAGTTTTCCAAACATGACATCCTTTTCTCTCCTGATAACATATCCATCATGGGACAAAGTCGCCTCACTCTATCTCCTAAAGGGCAGTCTGGCTCTATTTCTTTTTTTTTTTTTTTTTTAAAACATTTTATTAGGGGCTCATACAACTGCTGTCGCAATCCATACACACATCAATTATGTAAAGCGCATTTGTACATCATTCTCAAAGCTTTTTCTTATATAAGTCACTTGTATTGTTAAAATAAAAATTATGGTTTTTTAAATACATTTTTTATTTTCATATTTTATACCATCCGCTGTCTCCCTTCACCTACGTTTCTGTTCGTCCCTCTGTGGGGGGTGGGGGTATTATACGTCAGTCACTGAGATCAGTTCCACCTTCCTCCCTCCACCTTCCCCGCCTACCTTCCTGGTATCCCTACTCTCATTATTGGTCCTGAGGGTTTTATCTGTCCTGGGTTCTGTGTGTAAAGAGCTCTTATCTGTACCCATGTACATCCTCTGGTCTAGCTGGATTTGTAAGGTATAACTGGGGTCACAATAGTGGGGGGAGGGGAGGGAGCATTAAAGAACTAGAGGAATGTTGTGTGTTTCGTCGGTGCTATACTGCACCCTGGCTGGTTCGTCCCTTCCTTGTGACAATTCTCAAAATTATGTTTCTTTTATAAGTATCTCTTGTATTAAAATAAAAATCATAGTAAGCCAATACTAGAAGTTGATTGAAGATTTAACATACAGATTCCAAGTTGGAGTACTATTTGAAGAGGAAGTCAACATTGTTCTGCAGCTGAGGAAACCACAAGGGTCCTATCGTGTTGCATTTTCATTGTTACGGAAAAAGAACCATATTGAAAATTAGTTTTAAAAAATTGTGGTCAGAAAACTTGTATATAGCATTGTCCGTAAAGACAATTAAAACAATTACTGATTTACTGTTAAGCAAGCTTCTATAATGACTTTTACCATCTTGTTTCTTGAAACTGATTGAATTCCTCACAAAAAGCACAAGGCCCAAGGCAAATGGTCTTACTAGTTTATTTATAGCACTGTTTGACTCAAACGTGAATTTTAGAAACATGTTTCTTTAAAAGGTTCAAAAATACCTGAGGTCAAAGCTCCTGGTGGGTCACTCAGAAATCTGAATTTCAGGGAAATGAAATAATAAGTCTTGGGTATCCAGAAAAGGCAGTTCTACATGCTAAAGAATTAAGATGTGATGCATCCTAAATAGGCTAAAGTCATTACATTTTTTCTTGTATTATTTATCATGACACATATTTTAAAAATCATCATTTAGTAATGTGCTAGATGTTTCAGAGGTACCCTCTCGGCTAGTCATAATAATATTCATATAAAAAAAGATTAGCCATATCCCCTTCACACTGAATGACCCAAACAAGTTAAAATGGCTTGGCCACAAAGCATCGATCTGGGGGGCAAGCAGAGAAGTTTTTCTTCAAATGCCAAGTCCTATGATCGAGATCTTATCTTATATATTTGACTGCTATTCCAGCTGCATTCGTATGGCTTGTCTTTTTCCTTCTCCGAAAGCTCTAGATGAGAAGATCACCTCGCCCTTGGTTCTACAGTTTCTTGATGCTCTGTGTCTGCGTCTCTCTCCCCAGGAGGCCAAGGCTTTGTGAGTGAGGATGAGTACCTGGAGATCTCTGACATCAAACGCGACCAGTCCGGGGACTACGAATGCAGCGCCTTGAATGATGTGGCTGCACCTGATGTGCGGAAAGTAAAAATCACTGTAAACTGTGAGTTGACCCACTGCCAGGGCGTTCCAGGGGGAAAGAAGGAGTAAGGATCAAAGGAACAAGCTGACATTGACCAAGCCATTTGCTGAGAGTCCCTAGTACCTGCTTACCGAATTTTTATCAAATTTCTTTTTCCTGTCGATTGCCCCATTGAATTTTTCTGTGATTTTCAGTGCTTTCAGCAAATGGGAATTATTAACTTCGAATTGGTTTGCAGCAGAATCTCCAAAAAGAAGCGGTTTTCCCAGAATAACTCACTGTTTAACTGGGAGGCAAGGGTGTCCCAAGAAATCAATTCACATCTCAGGAGGCTAAATGTGTTTTCCCGTTACCTCATGGAATAATCTTCATGTTTATTTATGTTTCCCCATAGATCCCCCCTATATCTCAAAAGCCAAGAACACTGGGGTCTCCGTTGGTCAGAAAGGCATCTTGAGCTGTGAAGCCTCGGCAGTGCCCATGGCTGAATTTCAGTGGTTCAAGGAAGACACCAGGTACTTTGAAGTGGAGCTTGGGCAGCTCGGAACAGAGATGGTGGGTCAGGCCCCACTGGAAAGGGGATGGAATTAAAGGGGAGCGAGAAGGCATAAAAGCAATACAAAAATGAATTACAACCTCCTTTGTAACAGTCTCCTTTTAGAACCATAAAGTGGGGTGGGGTGGGGTGGGGGTGGCTGAGTGTGGAGGGATTAGAGGAAGAAGCTGGGAAGTGGGCAAAATAAATGTACTTTGTTTCTGATTCCTAGACTAGTTAGAGACAGGATAGTCTGATGACCGGAGTCATTTGTCATTTGAGCATGGCCATCCTTGAACTGTCCTTCCTCACAGAGACGGTGGCATCTAGTGTTCGCGTTCAAGAGACTAGGTTGGTTAGAGGAAACGGCTTTTGTGAGGAGGAAGATCTTCCTGTATGCTTGATTCATGGCATCGTAAGCAATTTTAGCCACTCCGTCTGCTGTGTCGGTGAACTTCGTAAAACCAGAATAGCAATACCACGTCTGATTGCAGGTTAGCCACTGGTCCCGATGGCGTGAGAATTGAGAACAAAGGTCGCCTATCCACTCTGACTTTCTTCAATGTGTCAGAAAAGGATTATGGAAACTACACATGCGTAGCCGCAAACAAGCTTGGGAACACCAATGCCAGCATCTCATTGTATGGTGAGTGCCGGAAGCCTGAATGCAGTGGGCTCAGGCAGGTGGGGGAGTTTAAGGGTGACAAGCGGGAGGAAAAGCATAATCAGTTTGGCCTGTGTCCCTCCACACTGCTTTGGCCACCTTCCATGGCTCCTCTGCCATCTGTGGCAGAATGTGGGACAGTGGCGTTTATGAAGTAATCAGCATTGTCTGCTCTATTGAAAGATGTTTTACCCCCTACTACAGGAGTAAACAATATCCTAAGCAAGTTTTATGATGTTTGCTATAAAGAAGATAGAACCATGAGGTAGTTCAATTGTAATATGAGCTAAAAATCTGAACGAGTCCTTTATATGTGATTGTAAGATATCCTGTATAGTAAGACTATGACCTCGGGGCTATATTTATCACTTTGAACAAAGGCACATGCTACTCGGTGACCTTCATGGCATGTTCTTATGAAACAGAATACATGGAGCCCAAGGCTGGGGTCTCATCAAAGTGGCTGGTGCCTCCACAATTGTATCCTTCAAGCCTTCTCTGAAGGGCTCCTTCCATGTGGATGGAGAGGTCTTCCCCCTCACTCCATCTTCCCGGCGCTGTGCCCGTCGTCTTGTGCAACATCTCACACCCTGGGCCGTGGCCGGCTTGCTGTGGTAGTCTATGTGTGTGTGTTTCTGTTGATTTGCTGAGGTTTGCTTGGAGGGAGGTGACTGATGAGTAGGATGAAGAGGTACCCATTTTCCATGGGCATCTCAGCCCCCGATCAAGATGTCACCGTGGACGTTTGCTCAACCTTGTCCACCAACCATCTAAAATGTGTGATCTATGTTTTTTGTTTCCTCTCTGCATTGTGTGTGCATTGTGCTGTGTGTGTCTTAGAAATAAGCCCCTCATCAGCAGTGGCAGGTGGGTACAGCATGTTCCTTCCTTCCTCTGCCTGCCGGAATGCCTATGAGTTTGAATTGAAGTACACTTGGTCTTCTGAAAGATGGACTTGCCTGTTCCAACACTCTGCCTTATCCCCCCTTACAGGAGAGATTTTGAGGGGTTAGGACTGTATATTTTAAGTAACAAGCATGTAGGGTATGATGGTTTTGACATGTACACATGGGAACCATCATAGAACAGAATCGGTTTATGTCTCCAAAGCAGCACCGTTCCAGTTGGTCACTTTAAAGTGGGGAATGCTCTGCTCCTTTTCCATGCAGTAGCACTAAGAGGAGCTTAGCCCAGAGATCAAATGGATTATTTGCTGATTGTCTCCATGGAGACATCAACTGCGTATGTTTTATTCTTTTAACCTGAGGAAAAGAGGACTTGTGACAGTGTTATAAAAACTATTTTAAAATAGACATACATCTGAACATTATTTATAATACTAATATCTACCTCTTACTACATATTTACTGGTATCTAGGACCATTTTGTAACTTAGTTATTAATTCCATTGGGGTTAGACTACTAACCCCATTTTACAGATTAATCACAGCAGGAACAAAGAGGTTGAGTAGCACTCAGTGCCCACGGTTGATGAATACCATCTTGATAAACCCACAGTTAGCTCCTTTCCCCAGTTTTGGGAGTGTTTATCTAAAGCAGTGGTTCTCAATCTTCCTAATGTCACAACCCTTTAATACAGTTCCTCATGTTGTGGTGACCCCCACCCCCAACCATAAAATCATTTTCATTGCTACTTCATAACTGCAATTTTGCTACTGTTCTGAATCTGGCAACCCCTGTGAAAGGGTCGTTTGACCCCCCCATCAGGGTCGCGATCCACAGGTTGAGAACCGCGGCTCTAAAGGATAAACATAAGGACATACACAAATACATATAAACAGGAATACATTCACTCATACAGTTAGATGGCCAGAAACTGGTGTCCGCTGTACTTCTACACTTGGAAGTCTGACACCCTTACTTTTTTTATAGTGTCAAACAGTTAGATGAAATTTTGTAACTCTTGAATTTTCTAGACGTGGTATTGGCTTTCATAGCTCTGGGTTCAACACAATCTTATATGATTAACCCTATTTCCATCTTTCTCACAAATGCCCAGCTCTTGGTCTAGATAAAATGGATTGAAAGTGTGAGAAGGGATGCCAGCCTGCTGCTGCCCCTGCCATCACTGTCAGTTGGTGTGATTGCTAGGAGCAAGGAATACAAGTCTTATCAAGAGAAAGAGCCTTAGATTGATATTCGGATGTCCTGGGTTCTTGTCCCCTCTGCCTTTAACTACGGAAAGACATGTCTCATAGATAACAAGGGAACATGTAAATCCCCACAAAGGTGCACATCCCTATCCAGCTCCACTCAGACATGTGACTTTGGGCAAGTTATGCAAACTTCTGAGCTTTAGTCCCCTCATGTAAGCATTCAGTGCTAGAAGCTGTCTCAAAAGCCTGGTAAGAGGATGTATTTTTTCATAAGAAGTCCAGCTGCCAATCAAAAGGTTGGCTGTTTGAACCCACCGGCTGCTCATGTCTGTATAAAAAGTCTTATAAAAGGTACATTTAGATGATTAACTTTGAAAACACACATAGACCAAAGGCCTTGATTTACTCAGCTAACCTTGGGATGATATTTTCTGGCCGGTTGTCTTTAAGAATATCATTGTGAGAGGCATAAAACAATATTCACTGGCTTGGTATAATAAAATGAAAACCATTCAAGGTCTTATGATTACTACTGCCTTCGGACAACCCCTTGGGACACTGCCCTTCCTGTCAGCATCTCCCATGGCACAGCTGAAACAAGGACTGCTCTGTGGAGCCTGTGCTTTCCATTCTTCCAGTCACATGTGCACTCTTGCTATAACGCCACCAGTTCCTGTCACTCATCCTATCACGGTTCCCCCAGTTGGTGAACACCATCTATCAGTCCACGTCTCAGTCCACGTCTCAGTCCACGTCTCCCTTCCTCGGAGAATCCTTCTCTGATCCTCCTGACCCGATCACCACCTCCTTACATCTCTCTGACTTGTTTGGACTCACTTTGGCATTCCTCCAGGGGATAAGCATTGGCTACCTCTTCCAAGCTAATTGACGCGGAGGCAGCCATGACACAAGAGACTCCTTGTTTCTGTTGCCTTCAGCCTCTCATTTCCATAGTTCCATAGATCTAGCTCCAGTTCATTTTCCCCATTGGAACCTTTAAGCCCATGGATGGAGGTCCATGACGATTTCGGCCTTCTCTTGGTATCTAGCACACAATCAAGCACAGGTATACGCCGCAGCAGTGGGTCAGGCACATTGTGATGGAATAGGAGTTCAACTGTCAGGAATGAAAATGTTACTGAAAAGAGTAGGGTCTCTCAGCTTCCCAGACTTTCCAAGACCAAACTTTGCTGTGAAGCTTTCTTTATGGCTTTAGGAAAGTCCACTTCACAGGGCCTTGGATGATTTATTCATTTTTAATCAGTGAAAGCATTTCAGATGAGGACTCTGGGGTATCTGATGCTACAACGGAAAGGCAATAGTTTCAGCACAATACATGTGTCCAGAGTCAACAGTGTGTTGTCCAGTCGATGAAACCTTTTCTGGTGTCCACCGAAGCTCTGTGACTTCTCAATGTCCCCATAACTATGGCTCATGATAGCCAATCACTTGCCAGGTACAAGACACTAGACTAAATGTTTCAGATGGTTTATCTTGTTTAGCAACTCTAAGACATAAGTACTGGGCTTATCCCGTGTTCCCAGATAAGGAAGTTGAGAGGACAGGAGATTACACTAACTGGTTGATGCTATGTACTTAGATTTCAAGGGCTGGTATCTTTGCTACCATTTCAACTCAACCTTTCCATTCAAGTTACAACCCTTAACAACTCCTTCACAGCTATTGGGAAACACATTGTGATAGAACTCCTTATCAACAATTAGCCTGCTTGTAGCCATTCCACAGACCAACAACTCCCTGCTTCTAATCATGAACTCATTTTTTTAAGACTGGGTTTTGCTGTTACAATCCCTATAGCAATGCACACATTCACACACACACAGTTTCTAGGCAAGTATTTATAGATTGTTTTTTTATTTGTTTTACATTTTTGGGAGAGAGAATCTTTTGATACTACACCTGTGAACCCATCACAATATGCACACACAATAGGCCTCTCCTACAAATTTCATTAAAATATTTCCACACCTACGTGCAAAGAACAAAGGAAAATGGGATAAAAGAAATTTCAAAGGAATACAGAAGACTAGGGAGACAATGAATTAGTGTGTGGGTTGGAACAGGAAATTATTTTTAAAATGAGGGACAACATAGGTGGGTGGATGATTAGCAGACCAGTGAGGAGCTGGCATTTAAGGTGAGGTACCCAGCACCTCCGGGGCCTCCTCCTGAAACTGTCACCTCACAAAGCCACAACCACGAGCAGGTCCCTTAGGCTGAGGGCGCTTTGGGATTTTTGGTGTTTGTTTTTTGTTGTTGTTGGTTTTTAGCAACTATGGATACATGCACTGCACAGAGAGAAAAATAAAGAGGAGAGGCTTGTTCTAGGACAGAAATGGGTCCCAGTCCCAACTCTGACAAAGACCAGAAATGACTCTCCTTATTCCTAAGATATCGATAAAATGCAAGAGCTGAACAATTTGGACTTCTAGCTTACCTCCAGTTTCTAAAACTCTCTTTTGAATTAAAATAAGTAAATAAAGCAGGGGAGAGGAAAGTGGACTCCAAAGTGATAGTGTTTAACGTCAGAAATCGTGTCAAGTGCTCCGAGCCCCTGAAGATATCTTGCTCCCCAAACATGTAACTGTATTCAATGGATGCTGTCTTTGTGAGCCCACCTGGTGCCCTGTCACCTTGAAATCCTGCCGGACTTGGCTCAGCCTGCGTTCCTTAGCGCTGCCTCTCATGAAGCCATTCACTTCCTGTGAACTTGCCGACCCATTTCGCCTCCTCTGGGCATGACGAAGAGCCCCATCTCCCTGCCCTCAAAGTGCAACGAGGAGAGATTCTGGCCTTGCCGACATCCTGGTGCTGCCGGGTGTGTGATGTGCTTAATGAGGCCTATAAACGCCTGGATTACTGGAACCGGCAGGGGAGGAGGACTCAGGACGCAAACACAGCCAGGGGAGGGAAGCTACTCTAGAGTGAACAACAGCTTTCTCACATCCTGGGTGTGAAATTGTAGTGACACAAATTGGTGACATTAAAAGTGACATCAGGAATAGGGGCATGTTGGCACTGCAGGTGACAATGACGAAGCACTCGCCTTAATCTGGCTTCTGGGCTCTGGCGTTCCAGACAGCAGAGTACCTGTAGCCCCACTCAGAGGACTTGCCACCACAGCCATGGCCAGCAGGAGGAGGGAGTCTTGATTTCTTCTGACCACCCATCCCCAGTAAATCCACATGTCTGCCGGGTTCTTTACAGCATACTCTTTAAGGAGACTCTGCACAAATGACTCCTCTTACCTCAACCTTTCTCTGGCCTCTCTCCTCTAAGGGCCCCCCACCTCCCCGCCCAAGATAAATGAACAGAGCACTCAGAATCCCTGCCCTATGATCCCTCCCTCACCCACTGTCTCTAGGCTGTTCCCCTTCCCTTGATAGAGATCTACAGGAAGAAGGGGCTTTCACACCTGTGAAGAGTGACAGCCTCTGAAATCCACAGGGACAGTTCTGCTCTGTACTACAGACGCGATGGCAGCGAGCGTGAGAACGTTTCTTTCAGGTGTCTCAAGGAGACAAGGGCAGGTGGCCCTAGAAATGTGAGGATTCTCTTAAAACTCCCACTTTCTGCCCTCCATAGACTGCTGCACATCATTCCTTCATTTCACGTCCAGACCTTTTAACAGGAAGAGCCAGCATTCCCTATATCCACTCCCCCAGCTGGGTCTATGTCTTTGTCTCCCAGCCTGTCCTCCCCGGTAGTTCAGTCTCCTCTCTGCTCGAT